CGCAAACCAAGGTGGAGATTGAAGGTGTTGGTTTATGTTTAGTCAACAATGGCATGTCAATTGAAAGAGTTGGTGGAAAGAGTTGGTGTGGATGCTAGTAGGAAGCTTCCTCCTTTGATGTCACCCATGACATCAAGAGGAGGTAATTTGATGTCACCAATGACATCAAGAGGAGGTCNCATGCCAATTGGAAGAGTTGGTGGAAAGAGTTGGTGTGGATGCTAGGAGGAAGCTTCCTCCTTTGATGTCACCCATGACATCAAGAGGAGGTAGTTTGATGTCACCAATGACATCAAGAGGAGGTCTTTACCTCTATAAATAGATGCACTCCTTCATTTGTAGAAACCATCCCAAAAATAATACAACACATTGTAGTGAGTAGAGAGTTAAGAGAGAAATTCTCTTAAGTGTAATTGGGAACTCTCCCCTTCCTTTGTTAATATTAAAAAGGCAACTGTTCTCTGGTGGACGTAGGATTATTTTGATCCGAACCACGTTAAATCTTGTGTTTTTTCTTTTACGTTTCCGCTAACAGTGATGTTAGATTTTAGTTGTCTGATAATAGCTGAAGTACCAAGCTGCATAGTCTGCTAATCAATGGGGAGTATGTTACATGCTTGTTTTCCATTTTCGAAGTAAGCTTATCTGTTAAGCCATTGTCTTTCTTATAATTTTGGTTTCCTGTGTTGAAAATGATGTGAATATGATAGATAATATTGAAGGATTGCCTGCTTTGCAATTTTAGTTAGTAGTAACCGACTGTTTGTTCTTTTCTTTTGCTTACAGGGGCTGTGAATTTTCCAACTTTAGATGAGCTTAACTCTGGATGTGACCTTAATCCTTCTTAATGTTGATAATAGGAGAAATATTTGGTGATGCTAATGAACTGCTATCACCAAGGCAGGTAAATGTATGTTTACTTCATGATCATTATGTTGGATACTTTGATGGAACAGTAGGATAATGTCATTTGTAGTTGGCAATTCGTCCGTGTAATATTGTGTACGTGATATAGATGATGATATTCTTTTTGTTTCCAGATGCTAATTCAGCCTAGCTTACTAATATGTGACGCCCCAATCTCTGAGAGTAATTATCTTAATCTCTCCGGAACTTTGTCTTCATAATCAGTTTCACATCTGCACTTCATTCTCCTAATTTTCAGCGCATTATTTATCACTTCTATAAAAAAATATTTTCTTGAATAAGCTCTTCAAATTAATAATGTTTCTCGTTGATATCTTAACATTTTAGGTTTAAAATAGAAACTTTAAAGTTATGCTCACTGAGTGTGCCACTCTCTTGTAAGAATTTTATTTCTTGAAAAATATTACTATTTAAAGATGGTGTGAGTAGTAGCTTCCTCTTAAGACATCAGAAGTTCATGAATTTGTAATCTAAAAGTATTATTAATAGCAAAAAGATCAATTAACTTCTTTAAACTGTGAGCAATATGTTGATTTACGATGATATCTAATAGGACTCGCACTTTTTGGCTAGTGCAGAGCTATTTGTGACTGCAAAACTACGTCTACAAACTTTTGACTATTGCTGAAAGAAAAAAACTATGATTATTCAAATCTGTTGAACCAATGCCAAAATCCATCTTTGATATATCAGAAAATGTTTAGATTTTTTTTTTTTTTTTTTTTTAAAATCTGTTGGATTTACACATGAAATATATTCTAAATACCTAAATGCGAAGTGCAACAATAGTCACTTTTAAGCGCGCTATTTAAAATATATGCATAATTTATAATGTATTTAAAGATTAGCCAATTCATCCTCATTTGTTTGCAGTTAATGGAGGTCTCAATATTAATAATTTAGATCTCAAACATCAAGTGCGTTTATTTTTAAAGTCTGAATTTTAATTATCCAGATCTTAATTATTAAGTGTGTTTATTTTTTTACTTCACAACTACTTAATGAGTCTGAATAGGTCTGTATGATTAAGATCCATGAGAGACTTAATTTCATTAAGATGTTATCATCCATATTCATTATTAATTGTCGCCGTTGCCTACCATTATCAACTACCACCATGCGACCACCATCATCCTCAATCATAGCCGCTTTCATAATCGACTACCATCACCCACCTTCTGCACCACTCCCACCACCATCATTCTCAAACACAAACAACACTCATCCACCTAAACTACCACAACTAACCACCCCATCACCATCAACAACTATAACCGGCACTGCACATTATTATTAACTATCACCACCCATCACCACCTTCCTCGATCACAACTACCACCATCATCCGTCATTATTAACTATCACCACTCACCACCACCATTCTCAATCATAATCGTCACCACTACTAATCACCACTAGCTACTACCCTGAACCACAATCATCAACCAAACCAGTGGCATATGCAAGATTTTTCATAAGCGGTGTCACAATTTGAAGAAATGAACAAATAAATAACTTATTGTAGTTGTAAGCGGTGTCATTTTCTATATTTATCCCTAATATTTTTATTTTTCTTATACATAACTAATAAAAAAATTCGACNTTAATCATTTAGTATTCAGATCTTAATACGCATCTTAATATTCAGATGTGTATTCAGATTCAGATGTCTTAATCTTAATACACATCTTGATATTCAGATGTGTATTCAGATTCAGACGTAATCTTACAAAAACAAATGAGGTATCCTGAAACTTAGTGTCTTGAATTTTTGAGCTGCTAATTTGAAATTGTCCTGAATTTCTGAACTACTAATTTAAAATTTAGGATATAAGATTCGAATTTTAGACATAATTTTCGAACTTTAGGACATGATATCCTGAAGTTTGAACTTTGTGGTTTAAATTCTAGGACGTCGTGTCCTGAAGTTTGAGCGAAATTGAGTAATCTTTAAATACATTGTAAACTGTGAATATATTTTAAACAACATGCTTAAAAGTGACTACCTGGTGTCATTTCCATAATACCTAATGGTCTTATTAATTTGCGGATGGGTGCAATATTATGCCACCATATTATACCGAGGATAGCGAGGAGAAATGAAGCTCTAAAAAAGTTACTCCAGTATATAAATTAAAAAATAAAAAGAAAGAGAATAATCGTAAAATCAAAACTTACTAGAAAAAGTAGATTTGCCGGTGCGGGCGGGCGATGGACCATCAGGTTCATGGATAGATATTTCTAAAAACAATTATTTTTTGTGGGGTGAAGGAGGACTTGGGAATGTTTAACAAGCAATTGAATGAAGAGGAATAATTTGGGACTTGGACAGAAATGCCCTTGCGGCCGAAAATAATCACACCTCGCTGCTCCTTAAATTCATAATTATTGTCGCTTCCCCCAAAGCTATGAAGGCGAAGAGGAATTCAAGCAAAATCCGGACATCATCGAACGACATTGACTGAGAACAACGGTCAATTTGTATGGACGGTAATTACTAATTAGTGCTAGCTTCTGTAGTTTATTTTCGATAGTAAAACGACAAATATGACCCTTTTTTCTTTTGGAATATCTATCTTAGTGAAGAGAGATACATCGAAACTTGTGCAAAGTAAAAAGAAAAGGGAATCTCATGGGAATGTATCAAAGAAAGACACTATTTACCAATAACTAGCGATTTTAGTCATGTTACCAAAAATAATCTAAAAAATTACCAATGATATATAACATTCAAAAAACATAAATAAAAAAAGATTTTCTTTTTGGGTATTGTTGCGATTCATTGAAAACGCATAGATAAGGTAATATGCAAAATACGACGAAGTTTGAAGGCGAGTTAGATTAGTTTGGAGTCAAAATTCATTACCAATGATATAAAATATTTAAAAATAGGGCTAAAAGAAATTTTTCAATGGGTATGGTTGGAATTTATTGAAAACACATAGATAAGGCAATATACAAAATTGAGCAAGATTGGAGGTGATTTGGACTGGTTTGGTATCAAAATTCGTAGTTAAAATATTCTTCTGTGACACATGTATCAAACATGTATCATGTATGTATCTTACACATAGATATACATGTGATACATATGTGATACACATTTCATCATTTTTTCATGTTCATCTTCTACGTTGGATTTTCAATTCAAACTACCTCAAAATTCCACCAAATCATCCCAAAACTGAGATTCAAACTCCTTAAATGTACCCAATCTATTTTAATAACACTCACTCAAAAGAAAGCAAAAATTTGATATTTTATTGCCTACAAATAGGTAATTGGCTAATATTGGTAGAATTTGGTTAAATTAATAATATTTTATGAATTTACCAATTTTTGTAATAAATTATTTATAGGCGGACACAACTGGTAGTTTCCTAAAAGAAAAGAGAGTTTGGAGTTATTAACAAATATCAAGCTTCTTGAACTTTTTTTTACATTATGTGTCAATATTATATTTAGTTGTTTTTCTACATGTTTACTCTCTTCCACTCCATTTTAATCCCTCCGTCTTAAATTTATCGTTTACTAAAAGAAGTCATTTATATAAGGTGTATATTTGGTATAACGTTGGACACATTTAATAAATATTATAGGACATATTCAATAAATAATATACTATTAATTTACCAGTATATTTTCGATTAAGTATATATTCACAAAAGTATACTATTTAGCATAGTAGTGTACTCCTGATTTAGGTTTATATTTAAGAAATACTTCATCGTCCCAATTTATTTGGCATTGTTGGCTCGGCACAGAATGTATGAAAGAAAGGAAAGCTTGTAAAACTTGTGGTGTAAAATAATTTATAAATTATCTAATTATTTATAAATAAAGAAGTATAACATTCTTTTTGGAATAGACTAAAAAGAAAAGTATGACATGAATTGAGACAGAGAAAGTAGTATACTATTTAGGAAGACTGGAAATAATTACCATGAACAAAATGATTATAGTAATGGTTTACTTTCATTACTAGTATTTTAAATGATATTCACAATATACCAGTTGCGTAGTATATAATATATATTGTTGAATTATGGTATAATATGATCAAATGGTATTTCTAATATTCTTGGTATACTACATGGTATTACTGTTGAATTATGGTATATCGGGGATTACTGGTATGTTAAATGGTATTCCCAACATTCTTCGTATAATATAAAATATATCATGATTATTGTTGAATCATGATATACTTTATTTGAGTATGTCAATTAGTATGTTCAATATTTTTGGTATACTATACCTTAATGTACCATTATTTTTGTATATTTGTTTAAGTATATTAAATGATATTCTCAATATTCTTATACTTTGATTACTGTTGAATCATGGTATATTAAATAGTATTCACAATATTCTATACTATGTAGTATACCACGATTACATGAATCATAGTATGCTGTGATCACTGGTATGTTAAATGGTAGTCATAATATTCTTGGTATATTGTATAGTGTACGATGATTACAATTGATTATTATTGAATTATGGTATATGTAACGACCCGACTGGTCGTTTTGAGCAACTGCGTTCGGTTTGCCAGTTTAAGGTCACGAGTAGCTTCACATTATGTATATCGACTTGTGTGCATGGTTGGATTCAGTTTCCAGATGAATCGGAGTCGAATTGGAAAGAAGGAATATAGTTCTGGAAGCTTAAGCGGAGAGAATTTGACCGGAATTTGACTTTTGAGTAAACGGTTCTGGAATGAGTTTTGGATGATGTCAGTAGCTTCGTATGGTAATTTTGGACTTGGGCGTGTGTTCGGATTTGGATTTGGAGGCCCGTAGGATAATTTGAGGCATTTCGATGAAAGTTGGAAAAACTGAAGTTTGAAAAATGGAGAGGTTTGACCCATAGTTGACTTTTGTGTTATCAAGGTCGGAATGTGATTCTGATAGTTGGAACAGCTCCGTTATGTCATTTGGGACTTGCTTGCAAAATTTGGTGTCGTTTGGAGTTGATTTGATACGGTTCGAATGCTTGGTTGCAATTCTAGAGGTTCTTGAAGTTCATAGTAATTTTCATGTGTTTGAGCATCTGATTCATGGTTTTAGCATTGTTTGAAGGGATTTGCGAGTGGAGCTAAGTCGTATGATGTTATGGGATGTGTTGCTACATTTGG